CTAAGGCCATTTTTCCCCTTCCCCTTTATTCCTGTACTGCGCACAAACAAAAGAAGAAAAAGTTGACTTTTTGCCTCCATAATAATTGGCAGGAGTTAGTCCCAAAAAAACCCTAATCCCTCCAAAAATGAAATAAAGTTGACAGCTTTGCTGTCTACATATACGAACCACAATGGGCAATCTGGAAAGAGGACAACAACATGGAAAATACAGAAAGTGTTCAGAAAAAAAAAGACTGCCTAATGAAGTTAGACAGCTCATATTGGGGGAACTTCTTCAGAACTCTCAAAATGGAAAGCTGCATAGAGGCGTACGAACTGCAATAGCACAGAAATATAACGTGTCAGAAAGGTGTATCTCATTCATTTGGGAGAAAGCAATGAAATGTGAGATGGAAGGTGTACCTATTAACGTGGACAGACAGATGGCTGGCAAGGTAGGAAGAAAACAACGGATTCTATCTCTTGCTCAAGTCAAGGACATAGATCTTGACAAAAGAAAGAGTATAAGGAGCCTAGCAACTGCCTTAGGGTACCCCAAAAGCAATGTGCACAGACTCATCCAAAAAGGTGAACTCAAAGCACACACAAATGCTATCAAACCATTTCTCACTGAGCCCAATATGATAAATAGGCTTCAATGGGTAATCTCACATATACAGAGATCCTCATTACTAACACAGCCTCTATATGAGCCAATGTTCAATTATGTGCATGTAGATGAAAAATGGTTTTATATGACCAAAAGTTCACAGAGGTACTACCTTCTTCCAGGGGAAGAGGAGCCTCACAGGACTTGCAAGTCCAAGAGATACATCACCAAGGTGATGTTCCTCTGTGCAGTGGCTAGGCCAAGGTTTTCATCAGACTCAACTGTGTTATTTGATGGGAAAATTGGAATTTTCCCATTCACTGAGTTTGAGCCAGCAAAAAGAAACAGCAAGAACAGAGTAGCAGGAACAATAGAAGAAAAAGCAATTAATAGTGTCACCAAAGAGATTTACAGAGAATGCCTCATCAGGAAAGTATTGCCTGCCATCAAAGCTAAGTGGCCAATTGATGCATCTGGGGACATATATATCCTAGAAGATGGCTTATAGGATTCTCAGACTATGCATTTTAGCATCACAGAATCCTAGAAGATGGCTTATAGGATTCTCAGACTATGCATTTTAGCATCACAGAATCCTAGAAGATGGCTTATAGGATTCTCACACTATGCATTTTATCATCACAGAATCCTGGAAGATGGTCTAAGCCACAACAAACACATCATATCCTTAGACAAGATGCCATATCATCACAGAAAGAACAGAGGCTTAAGCCAACAAAGGATTAACCTTTGTGGCTTAAACACTTCAAGACTTAGGCACACACACAGCATACTAACCACACACAAATTGGTACAAGTCCAAACATGAAGGCATCAGATAGTCAGACTATGCATTTTAGCATCACAGATTCCTAGAAGATGGCTTATAGGATTCTCAGACTATGCATTTTAGCATCACAGAATCCTAGAAGATGGCTTATAGGATTCTCAGACTATGCTTCTTATCATCACAGAATCCTGGAAGATGGTCTAACCCACAACAAACACATCATATCCTTAGACAAGATGCTATATCATCACAGAAAGAACAGAGGCTTAAGCCAACAAAGGATTAACCTTTGTGGCTTAAACACTTCAAGACTTAGGCACACACATAGCAAACTAACCACACACAAATTGGTACAAGTCCAAACATGAAGGCATCAGATAGTCAAACTATGCATTTTAGCATCACAGATTCCTAGAAGATGGCTTATAGGATTCTCAGACTATGCATTTTAGCATCACAGAATCCTAGAAGATGGCTTATATGATTCTCAGACTATGCATCTTATCATCACAGAATCCTGGAAGATGGTCTAACCCACAACAAACACATCATATCCTTAGACAAGATGTTATATCATCACAGAAAGAACAGAGGCTTAAGCCAACAAAGGATTAACCTTTGTGACTTAAACACTTCAAGACTTAGGCACACACATAGCAAACTAACCACACACAAATTGGTACAAGTCCAAACATGAAGGCATCAGATAGTCATCATCACAAACAAGAATAAGTAAAGATCTACAACCTCGGTTTTTTAGGGACAGGTAGCCATGCAGCAAGAAATTCATCAAAGACAGATGGAACAGTCTTACGGACCAATCCCTGTTGTAAACCTCTCTTCTCGCCATCAGCATTCCACCCTCCTTCGATGTTGTCTTCAACCCTAGGTGACTGATTCTGATCTTCAGAATCAGGGACGTCGGGCCAAGTCAAGGCATCCACTGGACTTAGGTAAATGGCAATAAATTCATCAACGACAGATGGAACAGTCTTAGGGCCCAATCCCTGTTGTAAACCTCTCTTCTCGCCATCAGCATTCCACCCTCCTTCGATGTTGTCTTCAACCCTAGGTGACTGATTCTGATCTTCAGAATCAGGGACGTCGGGCTAACTCAAGGCATCGATTGAGTCTTCAACCACCGCATCGGCATGCATGACCTTCAATGGCTCGTTTTTGGCCATTATTGGATCTACAAAACCTAAAATTGGTATCGGTGGGAGGCCTTATCAAAAGAGGGTGCAAAAAATGAAGAAGTAAATGGAATTGGGTGTTGGAATGGGAGAGGCGAGAGAGGAGGAAGCTTCAGGAAGAGACGAGAGAGATGAATACAAACCGGCAGAAGAGAGAGAGGAGTAATTGAGTGTTGGAATGAGAGCGTTTACAGAGTAATAATGGGCGGTTGAGTGTGTGGTTGAAAATGTGGAGATATTAATTGTGGGTAGATGTAATAAAGATGGTAAGGGTATTAGGGTAAAATGATATGGTAAAAGTTGCTAAAATAGGAAAATAGAAGATAGTTTAGGGAGGGAGTAAAAAATGTGCACTCCCAGTCGACAGTTGACTAGTTGAGCGTGCAATTGAACTCTACGCGGTCTGCACACCTAACCAAAAGGGCAAAAGCTTAAGAAAATTCCGAGATTTGGATAAAGCAAATTCCAAACCGACTTCAATCAACTTTTTCTTCATCATCATTCAATATTTCAATGTTCACACTCCCTGATCTTTCACCACTCTATATAATTGCTTGTCAGCTTGCCGGAAGTGACAATCTTGGCATCTTACTGTAAGTAACAGCTAACACAAATTACAAATAGTCGAAATCTTTGCCGTAAGATGGAAGAAATGGTCGGAGAGATCGTGGTTGTGCCATTTTTCGGCCAAGGTCATCTCTTCCCCAGCATGGAGCTCTGCAGGAAATTCTCCTCTTTCAATTACAAAGCTACTCTCATCATCCCCTCTCATCTATTCTCTTCCGTCCCGTCCGATCTTCGCCGCCATCCTTTTATACAAGTTGTTGAAATCCATGCCAGCTCCGATCCAGCTCCGCCACCACCGCCGCCGGAGATGGGTCACCCACGAAACCAGTTTCGTCAGCACCATCAGCAGATGGGGGATGGGATCGAGAAGCTTTTGTCAGAGAGGTATGGCGGGTCTCTGGGAAAGACCAGACCCGATTGCGTAGTGATTGATACGATGATGAGTTGGAGCAGTGAGATCTTTGCAAAATTCGGGATACCCACCGTCTCTTTCTTCACTTCCGGCGCGTGCTCCGGCGCCATGGAGTTCGCTGCGTGGAAGAACAAAGCCGACGATATGAAACCTGGAGAGATCCGGATCCTCCCCGGGTTACCCGAAAGCATGGCTCTGAGTCACTCAGAGATGAAGAAGCGTCGCCGATATGGCCCTCGACCGCCGCCTCATTCTCCTCCACACCACGGCGGAGGGATGAGACACGGGCCTCCCGGACCTGGACGCGAACCGATGTGGTTGGAGGAGACGGAATCATCAATCGCGTTCCTTATTAACACTTGCGACGTTCTGGACCGTCCGTTCATCGATTACTTATCTAGCCAGATTCAGAAACCGATCTGGGGAGTCGGGCCGTCGCTGCCGGCACAGTTCTGGGAATCGCGCGGCTCGATCCTCCGCGACCACGAGGTCCGGTCGTCGCACCATGAATCCAATTTCACGGAGGATGAGGTGGTGCAGTGGCTGAACACGAAAGCACGCCGGTCGGTAATCTACGTCTCGTTCGGAAGCGAAGTGGCCCCCACCATGGAGGAATCTGCAGAGCTAGCCAGTGCACTGGAAGAATCAACCCGGCCATTCATATGGGTCATCCAACCAGGCTCCGGCACACCCGGACCCCCGATCGGGCTATTTGGCGAGAAGAAGATGACAGCCGATTCCATCGATGGGGACGATGAAGGATACTTCCCGCATGGTTTACAAGAAAGGATTGGGGACAGAGGATTGATCATCAAAGGATGGGCGCCGCAATTGTTGATACTAAGCCATTCCTCCACCGGAGGATTCTTGTCCCACTGCGGGTGGAACTCGGCGGTGGAGTCGATGGGGAGGGGCATCCCGATTCTGGGATGGCCGATTAGGGGCGACCAATTCTCCAATGCCAAATTGATCGCTGATCATTTGAAAGTCGGACACATACTATCATCTGGTGAAACGGGGACGGTGAAGAGAGATGAAGTTTCGAGAGGAATTGAGAAATTGATGAACGATGAAGAGGTTGAGAAAGGAGCATTGGCATTGAAATCCATATTTGAGGCTGGTTTTCCAGAGAGCTCGACCGCATCTTTCAACTCATTCATTAAGCTGTTATTGTCCAGAAAATGCGTAGATATTTGAGCCTGTTTTGCCACTCCCAAGTTTAGGTTTCTCCCTATAATAATAAAAGAATTTGTTTAGGTCAGATCAAGACTGGCATGAAGTGATGGGATTGAACTGGAGTAAAACATGATGATAATTCTCAAATAGGAGTTTAAGTTTTTATATTCCTTAAATAGCACCATCTATTAATTATATACTTTTTATACCCTTCTTACTCAAATAAACCCTCTCCCCAAATTAAATGAGGCTTGTATGTTCTCTGTCGATGAAACTTTCCAGCGCCGCTTCACCATGTTTGTTCGCCGCCCAGTTCGATGTCCAGCGCCGCTTCTTTCTTCGGTTTTGTTCGCCTCCACCGCCGCCGTCTCTCTTCGCCGAATTCGCCTCCACAGTCGACGGAGCAGGTAATTCTCCCCTCTTCTTCTTCTCCTCTTCCTTCTCCTCCTCCTCCTTCTTCTTCTCTTCTCCTTCTTCTTTTGCACTCCTCTTCATTCTCGTCCCTGCTCTGTTTTCATATTCTGATTTTTTATTTCAAACAATGATTTTATTTCATTTTTTCAAATACTAAGTTGAACAATTATATTTTAGATCTGAAAAACTGAGAAACGAAAATTCAGAGCTTCTATGGAGATATGAAACTGTTCGATTCCATGTTTTTTCAACTAATTTTGGTAATTTATTTTAATACATAAAAAATTGCTATTCTATTCATTTTAAATATAAAAATGTCATAAAATCATTTCTATTCGAACAGTGCCAAGTTATACCAGTTTTATGCCATAACAAATTGTCATTTTTACTCTAATGTTATTCATAAATGCCATGTTATTTTTTTAAAAATAATGGCAAATAATGTTATTTTTATGGCAAATTATGTTATTTTTATGGCACTAATAATGACAAATTGTCATTTTTACTCTAATGTTATTCATAAATGCCATGTTATTTTTTGAAAAATAATGGCAAATAATGTTATTCATCAATAATATTATTTCTATTGTCATGTTTTTCTTTCTACAAATGCCATGATTTTTTAACTATAATTGATTTTTATGGCACTAATTACATCATGCCATGTTTTTTTTAAATACCATGATTTTTTCTTTCAACATGCCATTTTTCAGATCCGAACATGATAATATATGGCACCCATTTATGAAGATGACAAAGCAACAAACATGGCATTAGATGTGACAAACTATTTGCTAGAGATCTGTACTGGTCTCTTCAAAAGAGGCGGCTGCCGGAAACGACAGAGGCGCGTCGACGCCGGAGATCCACCCGCTAGAAGAGGCGGTAGAGACAACACAGGTGGATGTTGCCGGCAGAGGCAAAGGAGGCGGCGAGCGGCTGTTGGCGGCGCTGTTAGATGTGGCGGTGGGAATGTCAGGTGCGACGGCGATGGCGGCGACGTCAAATGCGACTGCGGCTGGTGGCGCCGCCGGAGCCGGAGCCGGCGAAGGTGGCAGTCACAGCCTAAGGCTGTACCGTTGCATCTTCCTAGTCTTTTGTTGTCTCTGTAATGTTTTATTTTGTGTTGTATTATTAATTAATACACTTTTTACTCCTATGCGTGACTGACGAGACTTGGACTCCTATTTGTGCACAAAGGCATTGTTATTGTTCTAGTCCTATTGAGATAATTTTCTCTAATAATAATTGAGTTTTTTCTTAAATATTACGTAGTATTAATAAGAAATTGAGTTTTTTTTGTAAAATATTACTCTGTATTAATAAGAAAGTTATGCATAAATCCTCATTTCCATTCCCGTATGCTCAAGGATCATTCGGTATTACCCGCTCGGGCAGATTGATCCACCTTTCATGTTACCTGCTACCTATCTCTCAAGTGTCAAGAGCTTCACAAGGTAATTTGCGGGAAATTTAGAATTGGTGGGAAACACATTAATGAACCATATATTGGAGATTTTATGGTTGGGTCGAGTCTACCCTTTCAGGGCTCCACATGTCGCATTCACACTTACTACCTACTAGTTTAAATACTTGCATTTATTTCATTATAAAAAGTGGACAAAATTGCATTCAATATTTTAACTTCTCTCTAGATCCTTGTGTAAATTCTCAACTTAGAATTATACGGAGTATGAGGCTATCTGCACTGCAGGGGTGAAAACTCAAATTTGAGTTTTCACCCCAAATTGAGATCCAATCCAAGCCAAAAAAAGTATAGCAAGGTCTTGTACTGGGTTGGGGAAACCCTTGGGGTGAGGATATAGACGCCGGATTGCTCCTGGAGAGAAAAAATACTCCGTTCCCTTGGTGTGTGCATCAAAGAAAAAAATGAGATAAAAATCCCAATTTTTTTATAAATGGTATAACTTTTTATTAATGATTCATTTTTTATAAATAATATATCAAAATTTATAACTTTTACGATTTTTCATATGACACCAATATCATATATATATATATATATATATATATATATATATATATATATATAAAGTTTAAAAATATATGAAAGCAATAGGAAAAAAAATATGACACCAAAGAAATCTTTAGATTCAAAATTATTCTTAAGTAGATCCAAATTTTAAAAATAATATCTCATGCATAATTTTTTTACATCTTTTGGTTATGTTTTTAAAATATAGGCCTGGAATAACAAAAAAAATAAATTCTAAATTTATTTATTTTCACATCAAAATGTTTCACTTTTTAAATTATAATTATTTGTAAAAATAAATCTGTCACATAAATGATGTAAAATAAAAAAAGTAAGGATTTTTGAATTTAATTTTAAAAAAATATGTGTTGAGTGGAATATATTGACGATGCTGGGTTGCAAGAAAAAATTGAATTTACTGAGTGAATACGTATAAACATGTGTTAGATTAGATTTATTGATGGGATGTGTTGCGGTTAGCCTTAGAGTATCGTTGCTTTTGCTTTCATTATTGATTAATCACTTACTAAATACACGAAACCCAAAGAGATCCTATGAAAGCCCAAGGGATCGTGGTATGCTTTTGGACCGCGAGGACATAACCTCAACTTCGTCAGCGGATAAATTATGAACTTTAATACTCTCTCTATCCCATAAAATTCTTCCCACATTGACTTGACTCGAATATTAAGGAGGTGAGAGTAACGTGGAAATGTATGATTGTAGATGTGTAAGAAAAAAAGTAAAATGAATGTGAGTCACTCAAATTGAGAGAAGATTAAGGGAATTAAAGCAATTCGGGGATTCTGGCGTTGCGCTTTAAACCACCACGCGTAAACTGTTTTCTAGATTTTCCAATGATAGACACCCACTTATATTATTGATATTTTCTAACATTAATATGTATTTACTATGCGAGATATCATGTATGATATCCCAGTTCGTATACCGTGGGAGCAGCCCACCGTGAGCATGCTGCTCCCACAAACAAAAACACGTGTTACTGTTCATGCGGGTGAACAGTAACTTTTTTCCTTCTCCAGTAGTAGAATGATGTAACTCGTGTGTACAAAAATGTAACTCACGCTGATAAGAAATGTAATTTCAAGCAAGTCGAAATTTAATTTGTCTAATACGGATGATAGGAAATAAAACATTGATTTTAATGAAAACAATGTGTCTAATTGCTCAATTAAGTAGTGAATATGTTTTTGGGAGAATCCCTAAATAGGAGTAAAAAAGTTTTGAAATTCCAAAATAGCACTATCGTGTTTTTTATTCCTTGAATAGGAGTAAATTTCTGCCAAGTTTGGCATTGGTAGGCTTTAAAACATGGCATTTTTTTCAAACATGGCAGATTACTCCTATTTAGGGAATAAAAAACATGATACTCCTATTTTGGAATTTCAAAACGTTTTTGCTCCTATTTAGAGCAATTTCTGTATGTTTTTAATATTAAAGCCATAAGTAATGTTTTTTATTAAATCGTTTTTTCCCCAAAAATAAATCATTTTTCGTTGCAGAAAGCGATTTTTTGTGACAATTTTAAATGATTTTTTAAAAAATGTATACGCTCTATTTTTAATATCAAGGACATAATTTTTTTAAGAAAAATCACTTTTTTGTCAAATAAATCATTTGGTAAATTGTTACGAACGTGGTTGGGATCTCATTTTAGATCTAGGAAATAGAGAATATGAGAGGAGAATAATAAAATAAGCTAAAGCTAGAATTAATTTGTGTCAAGACACAAAAGAATTAATTCTTCCCAAGCTCTTTATTGTATAATACAGATGTCCCTTATATAGCTATTACAAGAGTCCTAATTAGAAAAGGAAATAAATGCTAACTAAGAAGTTGCCTAAAGCAAAATAGGAATAATTATAAAAGTAGATAAATGCTAATTAAGAAACTGCCCAAAGCAGAATATGACTCATTATAGAAGGAGGTAAATGTTAATTAAGAAGCTGCCTAAAGCAGACATAGTATTATAATAATAGTAATAATGATAATAATATTAATAATGTATTGTTTCTTGACTTCTTCTCCCATATCATTACTCCCCTCTTGGACATCAAGCTTGTCCTCAAGCTTGAAGGGAAGTAACCGGCGATAGTGTCCACCTTTTCCACGATCAAACGACATCATTGGGAAATAAACGAATAAACAACCATGTGTGATAATGTGAAGGAGGATGAGTTTGACATGCAATCCTAGGACATCATGACACTTTTTCCTCTTCGATTCTCCAAGGCCTTCATTCTTTAAATACTTGCACGGAATTAAGTATAGTGGAGAGTTGTAGATCTTTTCTGGTGGAGTTACCAGAAACTTTTGGGCTACCAGATTTGGCAAAGGATTTACTATCAACTTATCTGGTAGATGTGGAGGCAATGAGGGTTGTTGAGATACAATTTTAGGTGTGGACGCTACTGGTTCAAGCCTTAACTTTTGCAGTGGAAACAATTCGATTTCTGGCAATGATGGAGATGGTAGAGATGTGGGCTGCAAAATTTTATCCGATGGCGGAGGCGTCTGGGTATTGGTTGCAGTAAAGGAGATGGTGTATAGTGTGGATCTTCGAAATCTAAAATTTCTATGTAAAACAGACGTTTGCAGCGATGTTGGCCTCGGATCCATTGTTCGTCACAATTATTATAACATAAACCTTTAGCGTGTCTTGCAGCCACGTCAGCACAGGATAATTGTTCCCATACGAGACTAAACGTACGACACAGAGGGGCTGTTTGGACTGAAGCAAGTATCTTTTTAACAAAATCATGATCTTTCAAGACACAAAAGAATTAATTCTTCCCAAGTTCTTTATTGTATAATACGGATGTCCCTTATGTAGCTATTACAAGAGTCCTGATTAGAAAAGGAAATAAATGCTAATTAAGAAGTTGCCTAAAGCAAAATAGGAATAATTATAAAAGTGGATAAATGCTAATTAAGAAACTGCCTAAAGCAGAATATGACTAATTATAGAAAGAGATGAATGTTAATTAAGAAGCTGCCTAAAGCAGACATGGTATTAATAATAATAGTAATAATGATAATGATATTAATAATGTATTGTTTCTTGACTTCTTCTCCCATATCAAAGCAATCAACGTTGAATAAAAAGACACAATACTGACATCAAAAGTAATTGCACCATGCTTCATTTGTCCTTGAACAATGTTTACTTTTGCTCATTGAAAGAAATCATGTACTGTGTGCTTTCGTGTAGATATAATATGTTAGAGATCTTCCTATTTCAATTATGTATAATGCGTCGTGGTAGAGTATATGTGCTCAGTCCCACGATCTACACGCCAAACAGAGCAACTAGACCATACCCCCATACAAGGGACAACACTCACATATAGAAACCTCAGCCTCCACCACCTCGTCCAGTGTAGAAACCCAGTCCCGATGAAACTAATTGCGAGGCAAAGAAACACCTGCGAAAACGAGGGTACCCAATCCCTTTTCCCAGATCACCTCATCCGTAACACATCAAATTGCAAGTCAGCGCAACATGTCATATTTTGTTACACATGAGGGCTCTCCCCCATAAACTAGTTTACACGTGCACGTGCATTTAATTTACATAGCACGTATTACTAGTATAAATACATCACTGTGAGAGATGTAAAAGATTCGAAAATCATTAGTACACTTGATATGTTTCTCTCTACTCTTAGCTCTCGCTTTTCTATAGATACTAGTATTCCGATGAACTATCAGGCGTATTGGCTCGTCTTTGTAAACTCTACACTCTCCTATTTATAGGCATTTGTTAATAAAACTAAACACATCATTCTACCTTAAACAAGTTTGTAGTTTTAGGGCATGATTGACATCATCGATCAACGGTTAGCGGACCGTGTGTTTCACAATGATAAACTCAAAACTCCATTATTTTCATTTTTTCTATTTAAGCAATTCCATCATAAAGTTTTAGAGCCATTTTTGTCAAACATTGTGGATCATGAGCGTTTTCATTAATTAATAACGACAAAAAATCACAATAATGCTTGGTGTACGCGTCCGATTACACATTTATTCTTTTTTTTGTGTGCGTAGACAATTAATTTTCGTTTTTATATAAAAAATGTGATCCCAAAATTCATTGTCTTTAGCACAAACAGTTCACTTTTGGGGTCAACGGACAATTTTTCTTACAAAAATGGAAAAAAATGTTTGTACACAAAACAAAAAAATAAACATGTAATGGGACGTGTACAAAATCTCATTTTCCAAAAAATCAAACCACTGCTTTTAGGTTAGAAATGCCATTTTTCCAAATTAATTGTTCAAGTGGAATCTCCCACCCCACGAGTCCTTCACACCCCGACCCGATATGATTTTTGAGAGGATATAAATCATGATGACGCAGTCGGCTCAATGATGGTATGCCTTTCTTTTATCCGTGCGCACGTGGCAAACCTCAGTCCAGCATGCAGGAGCTCTAACCTTCACATGATCACCGCGGATTTTGAATCTTGATCATTGTTCCAAATTTCTCACCGCCGAACCAACTGAGTCTTAGAATCCATTTTTTCCAAATTAAGTTTTCTATATACTCCGTAGTAGATGACCGTATACATCTGAACTAGCCGACCAGCTGTCAGCTTGTCTGGACCAACCGACCAACACTCTCTGCGCAGCCGGAACGGACACGCACCGCTATAATTATCCCAGTCCATTTACTCCAGGAGTCCTGTTCGGTAAACTACGAAAGAAATAAAGAATCTCATTCTGCATTATAGTCCAACTTACCTCTTCTTTAGTTTTTTTCTCGAAAGAACGGACACGCACTGTCATCCTTGTTTTCTCGAAAGAAATAAAGAATAAAGCAAAAGAGAAACCCCCGTGTTAGTTTATCAGAGATCTCACCCTTTCGAGTTTCGACTTCATATTTACTCCGTACGATTTATAATAGTATGTTCTTGTATATAGATTTACACATCGTAGCTTCTAAGGCAAGGGATAATTTCCTATATTAATAACATATTCAGAGTATATTTCAAGTATCAAGGATTCGAACGCGCGCATTTTGTTGCTGTATTGCTGATCATTCACTGATTCTGTTGGGTGTCTGCTTCAATTATGCTACAGGTTCGCAATTTTGATCGATATACCTCTTCAAAACAATTTTTTCCCTGGCATCCTTGAAATGAATTTGTTTTACATGATTATTTTAACCGGATGCTGCTAAAAGCTTAGACCTTAGTAGCAGTGACATCAGAAAAGAAGCATATTAAATCATTAGGCGCAGCACTGTCCTGCTTAAGTTCATGATGATGCTGGAATGTTTCTGAAGAATATGCATTGTTGACCTTGAACCCAATAAAGCATTCTCTTCAGATCGGACTGCTCTTGATAGACAAGACCGGTGCTTGTCCCTCACTAGCTCCTTCAGAAGCAGCAAACCTTCTTCCGAAAGCGTAGTGAAACAAACCATTCTTGTCCTAATGCGTTAGATGAGGCCAGGCATGAAAGGTGAGGTCGAGATTTCAAGGATTTGTGAGATCCATACCGCCAGGTCTGAGATCGGACGGTTCTGGAGAGACAAACTCCAATCCCTCTCTAGCGTTAAAGTTTGGAAATTTATCATCCTCGCCAGTGTTAACGTTTTCTTTGTTGCTTTGGGCTGTGAGGCATTTACCTTGACTGTTTTGACTTGAGAAGTTGGAATGGAGTTCATGCATTCATGTGTCTCAGTCCTTCTCAGTTGCTTATAAACGTGAGAAGAAAGTTTAGTTCTTTCAAGTGTTTTCAATTAAACAAGAAGAAATTAAAGACATAAGCCAAGTAAGATATGTACTTGGAAACTAGGGTCTCTATGAATGGTATTGATAAATTGTTGAACTTTAGTTATAAATGTTCCTTCCATTATCATCACCATCCATTTCGAAGCATGAATGCAAGATCAAAATCTATCAATTGTAGTTATTAGACATCAAAGAAGAAATACATCATCATCGTCACTCCCAGTGCCGCAAAGGCTCCCACAAAGAGTCTGTTTCCGGATGACTCATAGTGAAAATCGCGTCGAAAATTGCATGGCCTGACCGCTTCTTCATAACAAATGAGCGCAAATAATTTAATGAGTCATTTTGCTTCACTCCATCATATTCCTAAGCCAAAAAATAGTGAGTCTTTGACTCCATTGTAAATGGTGGATCATGGAAATAAAGAAGAAATACATACATACATGTAATATATATATACATTATAGTATTATACATACATACAAGTATAATATATACATATTATATATCTATATCTATATATATATAAATGATCATGTCCAGCACTTCTCCGTCCGAACACCGCTGTTTGGTGCGGTTACCGGTGGAATTTTTTGATGAAATTCTTTGAGCATGTTCCTCATCAAGTCTAGTTTATCCATAAAAAGTTTCAGCTCAAAATTCGATTGGGAAGGCACTCAAATCATTTTTTGAAGTTGACTGCGCCAAAATATGCATATAAAAACGTAGTCAACTTCAAAAAATGTTTTGATCGTCTTCCCGATCGAATATTTAGCTGAATTTTTGTGTGGATAAATTAGACATGATGAGGAACATGCTCAAAAAATTTCATCAAAAAATTCCACCGGGAACTTCCCCAAACGGCGGTGTTCGGACAGCGTTTGGACGGAGAAGTGCTGGACAAGATCATTTCTCTCTCTCTATGTATTTTGGATCAAATGATAACCATGCTTAACGTGAGAACTTGTGATAGACACTGGTAATTCCAACTATCAACACAGCACAATCGACAGTAGAAATTGATGAACAAAATCAGAAAAGAGTTTATTGATGTAAGGGAGAAACACATAACGTATATAAGCCTTGGACGATTCGAGATGCCCAGTCTCCAAAATGACAAAATCTAAGTCCAATCAAATAACAGCCTCCTAATCTTAGACTCCAGACTTCTATTTATAGCAGTTTAGTCCACGCAGGGAACTAACTAACTAACCTTCTAGTTATTTATTACTCCATCCGTCCCCCTGTTATTGTCCCATTGCGGTTTACGATGCTTGACTGACGATAAAGCAAACAGATCCCTGTCCGCACTCAAATTATTTTTAGAAAAAGAAAATTACATATTCAGAAACTACATTAAAAGATTTACAAAGTCGCAAAAACCAGAATCAAATTTGATAAAAATTTGATACATAAAGTAAGAGATTAAGAGTGATTTGTGTTGACCAAGTGAATAGGAAATGGGACAATAACAGGGGGACGGAGGGAGTATTAACTACCTTTCTATTCCTCCTTTTGTACACGTTATTGTAAAACTGAGTTGGCTGATGTATTGAATTCCTATCATTACTCCCCCCCTAAACAACCACCTTGTCCTCAAGGTGGGTGATAGGAATCAGCCATGATCTTCCACCTCCATTTTATTCTTGCACCTCTTCCCTCCCGGTACTTGACTGGTTGATGGATAAAGATCTTCCATGCTTGAATCTTCCTCCTTCCTTCTTCTAGCAATAGCCTCCATAGATCCCCTATTTTCAAAGTATCATTACCACTCGGGTAGCTTTGTTCATGCTGGAATTGAGTTTTACCAATCTTCCAATTGCTAACAATTCTTGCCTCATAATATGACTCAAACTCTTCCCTGGGACTAATAATATCAGCAGGAACCTCAATTAATGATGTTTCGAATATGGATAATAATCTGATATAAGGAAACTCTGCAATATACTCATTGCCTTTTGGACAACCTGACTTACATTTATCATCATCTTTAATCAAGCATTTGGAAGAGCCTCTTAGTAGGGCAGTCATAGAAACTGGATTTCCATTATAAATCACCCTCTTAGGACCAACCACAAGAGGTCCAATATAGACTACACCCAATGTATCATCTTTCTTGTCATCTGTAGCCTTGATCCTTTTGTCACCAAATATCATCTGAAACTAATAGGCACAAACTACACCTCCATCTGCAATACATATACAAACTACTGGCTTTTCCGTAACATTTTCCTTATCATTCCCAATCAATCCTACTCCCAATCCTTTTTGGATAGATTTCATAGAATTCATACCATCCATTTTGAAACCCTCGGTCTGCTTCTGCCCTTCCAACATTCCCTTTGATGAAGGATTGTACACCATCTCTATTGGCACACCCAAATCCAGTTCATGAACTCTACCTAAATCTAGATTATTTGATGAATCAATGTTTTCTGCCCCTTCCGGAATATCATCCTTAGTCTCCAATTCTTGAACTGAAGATGTAGACAGTGTTGGCTTCAACTCAATGTTCTGTGTAGTTGGTGGATTTTCAAGCAAAGAATGTTGCGCCTGATGAGAGACGTCCAGCGAAGATGAGTTGTGATGGTCCGCGAGTGAAGAAGTCTGCGATCTTGGAGAAACGGCTGGAGATGAGACTTGCGAACTGAGAAAGGCCGATGTTGACCGTTGAGAATTGAGATAATGAGTTCGCGAGTATGAACTGGTAGATAGGGTTCGCGACTGCGAACTGATATTTTTTCTTGTGATATAGTTTTGCAAACTGGGAGTAAAGACTTGCGATGAAGATGGTTGAGGATAAACAGTTCGCGACCAAGCCTTAGAACTGGAAGCCAATACTGAAGCCTGCGAACTGAGAGGTGTTGTTGGCGAGGATTTTTGCGATCTGAAAGAATAGTCCAACGATGAAACCAGAGAACTGGAAGAAGTTTCTGGGGATTGAGAAGAAAACTGCTCAGTTAGCGACAATCTGGAAGAATCGAACTGTGAGACGACGAGGATTGCGAAGACCTCTGTGGACGACTGTGAGAAACGGATCGCGATGATGAACTTTTGGAAACTGCTATCGATGAAGATTGCGAACTGCAAGAAGTTGTTGACGTCCGCGATTGCCTTCTAGTCTGGAGTTGTTCGTTCATCGTTGTTAACCGTCTGGCGATATTATCCATCGTTGACTTCACCTCCTGTTGATTTCGCTCCAGCGCTGACTGCATTTCCTGCTGATCCCGCTCCAGCGAATCCATGCGCTGATCCATTTTACCTCTCGCTCTAACCATACACCTTCGAACGAAAAAAATTTCTGGATCTCCGTACTTCTCCGATCAATTCTGTAATTACCAGGAGCGTAATGCTCTGATACCAATGATAGACACTGGTAATTCCGACTGTCAACACAGCACAATCGATAGTAGAAATTGATGAACAAAATCAGAAAAGAGTTTATTGATGTAAGGGAGAAACACAGAACGCATACAAGCCTTGGACGATTCGAGATGCCCAGTCTCCAAAATCTAAGTCCAACCAAATAACAGCCTCCTAATCTTAGACTCCAGACTTCTATTTATAGCAGTTTAGTCCACGCAGGGAACTAACTAACTAACCTTCTAGTTATTTATTATTAACTACCTTTCTATTCCTCCTTTTGTACACGTTATTGTAAAACTGAGTTGGCTGATGTATTGAATTCCTATCAACTTGAAAACTCCACTTTTAAGCAAATGTGATCCATGTTTTTGTATATACGAAGTATATATGTATATATGTGTGTGTATATATATATATATATATATATATATATATATATATATAGGGGATGGTTCAAATACAAAGACCTCTTCCCATGCAAAGTGAGAATGAATCTTGTGCATTCAATTCTACATCTAATGGCTGAAAATGAGCCAAAAATGCACATAATTCGACCAAAATCGCGGTGACAATTTCGTAAATATGTTGCACTTTTTCGTTAGGATAGAGACCTACCTATTAGATTAATAATAGAAATAATAATAATAATAATAGTTGTAATAGGGGCTTAGGCAGTATTATAGTATAAATAGATGTAGAGGGAAGGTAGTAGGAGGCTTTTGGATTCTTTGTCTTGGGACTTGGGAAGACTGAGACTAATAATCTCTTTCTTTGGGAGCTTCGGCTTTGGGGGCTTCTGCCTTTGTACAGATTACTGTTCATCTTCTTGGATTCAATAAAGTTTTTCCATTGTGTTTCTTATTCATCCTTCTGTAATTGTTCTGGATTCCTGGAGGTTCTAACATTGGTATCAGAGTTGTGAAGATCTAATACTGAAGCTCTTTGCTCGGAAACCAGTGAGATATTGGGAAGGTAGGAGTGCAAGGAAGAAGAAGGAGCAAAAGATCTTGGCTGTCTCCTACCGCCCACCTTGAGGGCAAGGTGGATGTTTAGGGAGGGAGTATTGATAGAGACCTACCTATTAGATTAATAATAGAAATAATAATAATAATAGTTGTAATAGGGGCTTAGGCAGTATTATAGTATAAATAGATGTAGAGGGAAGGTAGTAGGAGGCTTTTGGATTCTTTGTCTTGGGACTTGGGAAGACTGAGACTAATAATCTCTTTCTTTGGGAGCTTCGGCTTTGGGGGCTTCTGCCTTTGTACAGATTACTGTTCATCTTCTTGGATTCAATAAAGTTTTTCCATTGTGTTTCTTATTCATCCTTCTGTAATTGTTCTGGATTCCTGGAGGTTCTAACACGTTATCGCAAAAAAGTGCAACAGAAACACGCAAAAGTGCAAGCGAAACATGCAAAAGTGCATATCTTCGCACTTTGCACGGGAATAAGTCTTTTTATTTGAACTCTTCCCTATATATATGTGTGTGTGTATATATGTAGATTAGAGATAAAAAACAAACCATGCCTATATATGTGTGTGTGTGTATATATATATATGAAATTTCACACCTTTTATATTTTGCTTTTTGCTTCAAGCTTTAGTATGTGGTGAGTCCGGATGTTTGAAATTATGATGATATAAATGATGTTTCAAGTATTGGCATTTTAGAATGACAAAAAGAAGACTGTTATTGGGTTTCTGAGTGTAATTCTTCCAACCATATGCAGGGTTCTTCACTCATGCTAATTGTCAATTAAATACTGGGGAAGGAATATGGCAACAGAGCTGGTAAACTCCGCTACAAGTGAGAAACTCAATGAAACAGATTGGATGAAAAACATTGAAATTTGTGAATTAGTTGCTCGTGATCATAGGTAGTGCCACATATCAGCAGTTTGTCACTTTTTCTGGATCTGTTTTCATCCTATTATTGTTAGGCAGGTTTGAATTTAAGTCTTATGCTTATGTGTGTGTGTGTTTGTGTTTAATCTCTGCAAATATAACATTTGTTCTTTTCAGTTCCTTCCAAGTAGTTGCTTTTGTTTTTCATCTCTTTAATTTATGATCTTTTGTTTTTAGTCCCTCGTTGACTACCAAGATTCCTGTCTTGCTTTTTTCATATATTCATTTTTCAGAATACTTAAGATTTATTTCCAGAGAGCCATGGAGACCTATATTAAAAATGTGAATGATTAGTTACACTTTGACGTGTAAAGTTTAGAGTGAAATTGTGCAAGTGACATAAAAAGAAGATAACATAAATTGTAATTATGAAAAATAAAATTTAAAACTGTAGGGACCTAAAACAAAAAATGTTATTATATTGGGACTGAAATAAATTTGGGCCTTATTTTGATTTCAATACATGTATTATGAAGAAATTGTGCTTCTTAATGGCCACTTTGATCTTCAATTTGTGCATTATCAGCTCAGGAATTCACAATATTCAAAACAATCACATGTGTTCTGTTCTTAATTACTACTCCCTCCGTCCCATTAGAAGGTTCCCACTTTCTTTTTTTGGACGTCCCATATAAAGGTCACATTTCTATTTTAGGAAACAATTAACAATCTTAAGTGACAAATTAATCATTAAATATTAAAAATAATACATTTATAACATCACAGTTATCAATACTAACTACATTATCATATATTCCTATTAAAATTATTTGTCAAAATATACTCGAAGTACTTTATTTAATTATTGCCTAAATAACCGTGTCATTTTGCTATGAGAACCTTCCAACGGGACGGAGGTAGTATAAATATTCAGAGGCACTAATCTGGTCACCAAGCATAACTATACTCCCCATATAAAGTCTCAAAATGTTTTACTTCAATTCTGTTCAGTGTTGATTTAGTGCCAATTATTTACCTCTGTAAAGTAGCACCAGTTTTAGTGGCAGTTGATGAACTCCTTAAATTCTATAATGCATTATTTTTCTGTCAAAATGATTTATGGGTAGCTTAATGTAAGACGTTCAATCTGATTGTTTCTTCAGTTATACAGAGATATTAAACTTATCATGCTTTTGTGTTTATCAGCAAAGCTAAAGAAGTTATTAAAGCTTTAAAGAAGCGTTTGGGAAGTAAAAATCCCACAACTCACATATTTGCAGTTACAGTAAGTAACTTCTACTTTTTCGAAATTGATATTTCATCTTACAGGTTATACTTTACTGTTGCCATTACATATTTTGGTAACACTTTCTCAGTAGTTATATTGATTTGCAAAGAGCATTTGGGGTCCTTTAATTTTGCAGTTGCTGGAAATGCTAATGAACAATATTGGAGATCCTGTTCATAAGCAGGTCATAGAGACCAGAATCCTCCCAATGCTTGTACTGATAGTAAAGAAAAAGGTTTACATCTCAGAACTGCAATTTACACTCGGCCAGACATTTTAATGCATATTAATTAGTTGTTGACTTTTTTGTAGTCAGATATAGCTATACAAGAGAAAATATATCATCTTCTGGATGCTGCACAGACATCTGTTGGTGGGATTTCTGGGAGGTACCCTCAGTACTATTCTGCTTACCATGAGTTGGTAGGTACCACACACTAATCGTCATGTTCCCTTTTTATTCTTCTTCTTCATGGGTTTATTGTCATAGTTGTGGTGGTTAAATCACCTTAAATTTATCAAATACAGAGTACAAAACTACAAATGCATACATAAAACTTTGGGCTACTCATTCTTAAAACTGAGTTCATTACAAGCAATTATGCAGCACAAGCAATACGCTTGTGTAGGTTTTGGGAATAAATTTCCTTGAATTCATTAGGCCAATCGGCCAGAATATATATACACTAAACACCTAGTGTAGATCCTAAAATTTAGGATCTTGCTAACTACGAACTTATCTAATAACAAATGTAAGCAACAACTTCAACCTTATCTACACGGCTGTGTATATACACCAAGTCTAATAAAGTAAAAATAATGTAACATTGATCATGGAGTTTAAGACAAAATACCATATAAGTTGTAAGCAACAACTTCTACAGCCTGTGTTTTCTCATTGATTATGGAGTTTAAGACAAAATACCATATAATTGATTACTTGGGTAAACTAAGTTGTTTGAAGGTTTAAGTTGAAATACATAATTTAAGAAAGAAGTGGAAAAATAATCATCGTTTCTTTTCTTTCTCGACCCTGACATGGGATTCTAGCAAGTAAAAAATGGCTAAAAGATATTAAACCCCTTAGGATTTACTACGTTCTAACATACGGAAGAAGAGTCTGAAGACATTTCCGTGTGTTTATTTAGATATTAAAGTGCCTATACACACATAGAAAATATGCTAATAAATAACAACACCCAAGCCTTAATCCCAAAAGAATTTGGGGTCGGCTAACATGAATCGATCTATGATATCAATGCCAAAAAGAGAAGACGAACAAGAAAGAGAAGAAAAAAAGTAAGATAAAATGAATAAAATAAAGAAATAAATATAAGATAACAATAACACAAGAATATAAAAAGATAAAAATAAAATAAAAGAGCATAAAAAAGCTAGAAGATAAAAATAACATAAGAATATAAAAAGATAAGGAAGATAAACGACAAAAGAAAAAATAGAGAAAAGGTAGAAAAGACATCAATCGTCCACATGGATGTGCGCCCTCCACTTTGCTCTCTCCAAAGTCGTACTCTCATCCAACCCAAGAAGACGCATATCAGTTCTGATTCCTTTAATCCAAGTCTGTTTGGATTTTCCCCTCCCTCTCTTCTCTGCCTCTTCTCCCCACCCCTCAAGTCATCTAAGCGGTCACTCGGTCTTCTACGCACATGCCCAAACCACCGCAAACGAGACTCCTGCATCTTATCTTCTATAGGTGCTACTCCCACCTTTTGTCTGATTACCTCATTCCTCAAGCGGTCTTTTCTGGTATGTCCACACATCCAACGCAACATACGCATCTCTGCCACACTCATCTTTTGAATGTGACATTGCTTCACCGCCCAACACTCTACGCCATACATTAATGCCGGCCTGATTGTTGTACGATAAAATTTACCTTTGAGTCTAGTCGGCATATCTCGATCGCATAGAAATCCTGAAGCACTCTTCCATTTCATCCACCCAGCCCTGATTCTATGGCAATATGGCATACATCTGCATCTAATTCACCATCCTTCTGAATTATGGAACCCAAGTAACAGAACATATCACACACCGGTATCTCCTTACCATCAAGAGTAATCTCAGTGTTGTTACTACTTCTACCTCCACCGAACTTGCACTCCATATACTCAGTCTTACTTCGGCTCAGTCTGAAACCCTTGATCTCCAATGTTTATCGCCATACTTCCAAATTTGCTTTAACACCAGATTGTGTCTCATCAATCAATACAATATCGTCGGCAAACATCATGCACCACAGTATATTTTTTTGAATTGACTTCTTAAGTTCATCCATGACTATAGCAAATAGGAAAGGACTCAGAGCAGATCCTTGGTGCACTCCGATAGTAATAGGGAACTCTGCGGTCCTCCCTACACTAGTGCGGACACTTGTAGTACAAGCATCATACATATCCATGATGATACTGATATACTTACGTGATATGCCTTTTCTAGTTAAGGCCCACCAAAGAACTTCTCGAGGTACCCTATCATATGCCTTTTCTAAGTCAATGAACACCAAATGCAGATCCTTTTTAGTGTCTCTATACTTCTCCACAACTTGTCTAAGAAGGTGAATGACCTCAGTTGTTGAGCGTCCAGACATAAAACCAAATTGATTCTCCGAAATTTTCACACTTTTACGAAGTCTTTGCTCAACCACTCGCTCCCAAAGTTTCATGGTGTGACTCATAAGCTTAATCCCTCGATATTTAGCACATTATTGTACATCACCCTTATTTTTAAATAAGGGAATGAGAGTGTACTCTTACGCCAACTCATTGGCATTTTGTTGTTTCTCCAAATCATGTTGAAGAAACGTGTTAGCCACTCGATGTCTTTCTCTCCCAAACTTCTCCAAGCCTCGATCGGTATGCCATCTGGGCCCACTGCTTTCTTCCACCCCATTTTTCTCATAGCCAACATTCCATGTCCCAAAACGCAATCTAACACCCTGTCTTCTCTTCTTCACCTCACATCGACTCCCACCATGCCCTTGCATATTTGACACCATCCCCGGGCATTGGAGTGGCGCGTCGCTTCCGGGCGACGACCTAGCAGCCTTAACATTCTTATCGCCACACTTAGGCCTATGAAGTGTAGCGCGCCCTTGCTCATTTGACACCACCCCCGGGCGGAGGGATGACACATCGCTTATGGGTGACGACCTAGCTGTAGCGATATTCATATTTCGATTCATGTCATGTGATGTGACTAAGGTGATACTGTTGACCGTCACGCGCCTACCACAACACCCTCCTTTATCCTGGGTTGAGACATGCATGATACCAAAAAAATGATCTCATGGCGGAGTTAAAAGATGCTAATAAATAAATGAAATGAAATTCCTAATGAATTCTACATTATAGTTCAAAAGTTTCACATGCTCAAACGCTTCATTCAGAACGTTACTGATGCATACTACAATATAATATTATGGAAAGATAAAAAAGAGCAATCAAGTGGAATAATGAGTAATAGCCGATTGGTTTGCTTGGTTGATTTTATTATGATTTGATATTTTATTAGCATAGCAAAGCTCCCTTTTATTAGAGGGACGGAGGGATTACATGCCTATGAATGCAGAAAACAAGGAAAGGGAAATACAAGAAAATCACTTCCTAAAATAGATTAAATAATGAAGGTATTAAAACTATCATAAGAATAAAAAGTTCTAAAAATAATAGTGTCATTTATCAATATTCTTCATTTGCAAAATAATAAAAAGTTCTAAGAAGGACATCTATCTTGACATTATTTTCAGTCCCTCACAATCAATCTCTGTTTATTAATGTGACTCGCCGAGCTCTAGGTGGCCTATTCACATAATTTTTTATATATTACTAATATTTAATCCTACGCGAATAGTTGGAGGACTGATCTATCTTCTTGGTCTCTCTTTTTCTTTATCTTTTGATCTTCATCTTCTTTATGTTTCTTATGTTCTTATGTTATTTTTATCTTATGTTATTTTTTATCTTTTTTATGTCCTTTTATCTTATATTTATTTTTATTTTAATCTTATCCTTTTTATCTTACCTTATCCTTTTATTTTTCTTATCTTTCTTTTTCTTTTTGGCTTTGATATGATGGATCGATTCGTGTTAGCCGACCCCAAAATCTTTTGGGAATAAGGCATGGATGTTGTTGTTGTATTAATATTTAATTCTACATTATTCAATCCTTTTTAACTTATCAGCGACTATAACTTAAGCATCTCTGGCTGATTAAAGCCTGTTTTGTATGAAAGGGTCACATAGAGGAATGAAAATAAAGTGGGGTTAATTACAACGATCTAAAAACAAAAGCCTTATATTTGTTGATACAAAAAACATACTTCCCCCGTTCCATAAAAGTTGCAACATTGGAATTTCTGCACTATTCACACACCTTACTTTGACTACGATTTTCTAATAATATATATAATAAAAATATTATGTATAAAATATTAATAAATTTGTATTAATGTAAATTTCCAATATATTAACGTTTTTTAGTGTTTACTAATACGTAAATAAATATAATTGCGGTCAAAGTTGCGCGTTGGCAAACGTGAAAGCCAAACTGTTGCAACTTTTATGGAACGGAGGATAGTACTTACTATTGAAATTTATTATGGCTGCAAATTGTGGGTGCCAATATAATCATGATTTTTTTCAGAGTGCAGGAGTGCAGTTTGGTCAACGACCTCATGTGATCCCAAAAGAGCCTTCATTATCTTCTAATGAGAATAAGAACAATAACCCTGGTGGCAGTGAGCTGGCCTCTTCTAAAAGTAAAAAAAAATCACCCCAACCAGAGACAAAAAATGATTCAGGTTCTAGGTATATTTTTTTGTCCTTCTGGCTAATTGGAAAGTGTCAAGTATTTAAACGTGATTATTCATCTTGTTAGGGAGTTGTTAGAGTCCCACTTGAAATATTAAAGAGGCGAAAATGAGCTCATAAGACCTTGGGTTGAACTAACTAATTGATTGGACTCAATCTTTAAGTCGGGTTTGAGTCAAATGGATTATGGCCCTGTTGGATAGCCCCAAAGTCTTCAAATCCCAATCCACTGCAAATTGCAGCGTTTCAAGTGTAAACTAATATGGCGTTTTGGCTGAACGCCAATACCCAATCATAGCCATTGCCACAGCTGCTTTCAAACCTCCTCAGCTGTTTTTATGTAGTTTTTTCCCTTTCTGTTGCACATTTTAAGGGAAGGACTGAAACTTTATTCTAATTATTACACAGAATAGTAAACTCTTAGACTGATACTGTTGTATACTAAAAGGCTCTTTACAACATTTATGAAAATTTACAGTGTTCTGCAAAAAGCCAATGCTGCACTTGAAATCTTAAGGGATGTCATGGATGCTGTTGACCCTCAACTTCCTGAGGTATGGTAGTGGCAGGGTATCCTACCTTTCCCTTAGATTAACTTATTAACATCATGATATACTATGTGTTATTTTAGTTTGGACATGCTCCTGGATTGAATTTTGCTGTCTGATTTGGCATTTTAAGCTTGGTCTGGTTATTTAAGTCTGGGTTTGGCTAGTTTAAGTCAGGGAAGCTTAGGATGACTACCTTAAAAAGTCATGTCTTTCCTTTTAGGGAGGAAAGGATGAGTTCACACTTGATCTTGTGGAACAATGTTCATTTCAGAAGCAAAGGGTTATGCATCTTGCAATGACTTCTGGGTAATAACATCTCTCTTATACCTAAAAACCCCACTATAACTTGTATTCTCGTGAAAAGTAGAGCAATTGTTCTTGTTGTGTCAATTAGAAATAATAATGTTTTTATCTACAGAGATGGTGATGTAGTTTCTAAAGCTATTGAGGTCAATGAGCAGCTTGATAAAGTTCTTTCACGGCATGATGCACTTGTTTCTGGTAGGACTATATCAATGCATATTCCTGCTGGTAATGAACAACCCGAGGATGAGGAGGAGGCTGAACAGCTTTATCGGAGGTATGCTTTTAAATCTGCTACAAAGGTGCACACTGACTTCATCCCACTAACATCTCCTTAGATATGTTTCTTTTTTACATGCTACAAGAAAAAGACAAAGGAGAGTAAATAATTGTGTCTCTTATATACTGTCTATTAAAGACATGGGAAATCATATGAGACCGTTTGTCAATTATGGTTTGGCTAGAAATTACCAAATTGACTGATTTAGCTACATTATGTCTTAAATAGGTATAGTTATTTTTAAATGCACTGTAAATGACACAATATCTGCATTGGTGTTTCAAATAAGTAGGTAGAGTTATCATAATATTTGTTTCACCAAAAACATACTCCCTCCGTCCCATTAGAAGGTTCCCGTCCACTATTCTCATGGTCAACTTAAATCATTTTTAATCTTTTACTTTATAAATCAAATTTTTACCAAATTTACAATTTTTTTATGAGGCTTTGTAGCGGTTTTAATGTAGTTTCTGAATATGTTAATTTTATTTACTAAAAATAATCAGAGTGTGAATAGGGATTAAGTTGCTTTATCGTCGGTCAAGCATCGTAAACCGTTCACGGGAACCTTCTAGCGGGACGGAGGGAGTATAAAACATTGTTCTACTTTTCAATCTGTATTATTAGTTTTTGCATTTCAGATAAGTAGAATTGTAAATGTTAGTTTTTGGTTGGAAATTTGTTGATAAGGGAAAAAGAGGTACCATTCAGTTTCATTTCTGGGGCTAAAAATCTACATGCTATTTCATATTTATAGACTATAGTTGATCTATTAAGACCTATTGTTCCATCTAAAAGTTCAATTCGGGAGAGGTAGTACATATTGTATTTAGATGGTGTGTGACAAAACGGGTAGACCCCTTCCCTTTACACCCACATATCTTGTATGGATTGTGAAATTTTTAACTTGTGTTTTCATGGGGAACAATCATGGCTATGGATCTGGTGCACTCTAGCTCAATAAGCTAAATGAGAAACGCGAGAAATGTGATTTTTAAAATATACTCTGTATAAGATACGAAATGTGGGGGAAACGTGTAAGTATTAAAAAGTATAAGGATATATTTATGAATATATCTTTATATACGTAAACACGTTTTTCATTTAGCTATATGTAAATATTTTTTTTCATATAACTTGTTGAGTAAGGCAGTAATTAATACATTCTACATGTTCAAATTTAGAAATCTACACATTAGTACATAACTGAACATAAAATGCATTAAATTTCTAGCAATGTATTGTGTTATGAAATGTCACAATGTTGCCAGGAAGAAATACCAAAAAAATCACCAAATATTTTAAAAAACACTATTTTCCATAACAGAATCACTTAAAATGGAAATTCAAGGTTTCCGGTTTCCGAAACCCTAAATATATAAGGAAACAGGTTTCTCAATTCTTCTTAATTACGGAAATGGCCCTGAGACGGGAATTTGAAGTGTCTGAATTTCTGACACGCTTTGAAATTTCCGATATGGGGAAACACGATCCGCGTAAAGTTTCCTTGCTTCACAGCCAATAAGAGAAATAGCCTAATGTTTTGTATATTGGTTTGTTATTTCATAATTTAACTGGTGTAGGATAAACTCTTCACTGTTCAAGCAATTGCATTTTTCATTGAGGAAAGAAATGGTGATATTTAAATATTTGATGACAGGGGTAGGTGCATTGCATCCCATTATTATACAAGCATACTTAATTATCATTTCAACTCAAAATTTACAGAATGCGAAAAGGAAAAGCACATGTACAATCTGAAGATGAAGACCGTCACATAGATCAACCAAGGGGATTGCTTGGCTCATCCGTTCCTGGCAGTAGGCTTCACCGTCCACTTATAAGGACAGAAGAGTCTTCAGACCATAAACAGGAATATGATAGGGGGAAAGCAGCAGCTGTTGCAATTCCACCGCCACCTGCCAAGCATGCTGAGAGGGAGAAATTCTTTAGGGAAAACAAATCATCAGATAGCTCTTCTACAGCTTTAACGGGGCATGTCAGGGATCTTTCCTTACACCGTCGCAATGCCAGCAGTTCCCGAACTGGCAGCGTCGATTTTAGTAACTAATAAGGGAGACAATGGGATGACTTGTTTTCAACAAACAAGTGCTTTTTACAGGAAGAGTATATCACTTTTGCTTGAAGAAGAGATGACAGGAAAATGAAAAAGTGTTGTTTATCACTAGAGTAAAAAAGCAAATCACTTTTAATGCTGGCTTTAGGAAGCACCAGATAGGTGTTCTTTCGAAAAGTACTTACAAGTGCTTAAATGAGAAATCACCGATGATAAAAGCACTGGTACCATAAGTTATCCCAAATAGTCTGTGTGCTCTTGTTATCTCATATGAGGATTCTTTTTATTCCCAATAGATGCTGAACCGGAATTAGATGGTTTGGGAATCAAAATACCTATCCCAATATGGAGTTAGTGCCGATTACCTAACCTTTTGTTTGTGCTCACTTTCTCAGTTTGTCTAGTGGGTTAGCATGGTACAAATTGTAATGCTTAGTGAGTTTTACAAATGTTTTGAATGAGTTTGAAGATGCTGGGACTTGAAATGTTATACTAGTGCGCATATTTGTTCCTGACAGAGGCGGTCTTTGTATGTGTACACCACTATTCAGTATACACTTTGATTTGATCAAAAAAGTGTTCTTTAAGTGAAAAATAAGAATAAATTAAGCCTTGGATTCGATAAAATGAAAGAATCAAGGGAAAGTTCCCGAAATAGGACTAGAATAGTTTCAAAATTCCAAAATAGGATTGTTATGTTTTTTATTCCCAAAATAGGACTAATTATTGCCATGTTTAGAAAATACTGACATGTTTAAAGTCTGGTACTGCCAAAACATGGCAGTAATTAGTCATATTTTGGGAATAAAAACATGACAGTCCTATTTTGAAATTTTCAAACTATTTTAGTCTTATTTCGGGTAATATCTCAAGAATCAATTCAAGTTCTAAAGGCCAAATGTAGTGGCATTGTAGTAAATATTAGTGTTGGACCGGTACTAGGCCGACTGGCCCGTGAATCGGATCGGCCCACTACTGTGCGGGCCCAGCTCGGCCCGGGAGTTGGGTACCGGTTCCGGGCCTAGGACCGGACCGGGAATTACAACGGGGCGGTTCTTGGACTTTTATTTGGTGACCCACTGACCCGGCCGGGTTGGGCCCGGGCTCGGGCCTAATGGCTAGAATTAAAAAAAATTGTTGATTAAATAGGCATATAGCCGTTGGGGAGCTCCCAAACGGCTCTATAGCCGTTGGGAGCAAGGGGGGATGTCCCGAGGGGAGCAAAGGGGGGATGTCCCGGGGGGTGGAGGGTGGGGGGTGGGGGAGGGAGAGAAATTTTCTATATATAAATACCTATTCATTTCATTTTTTACATAACTCATTCTTCTTTACTCTTTTATTCTCTATAAAGTATCAATTACTATATTCATCAATTGCATCATCTTCATCTACTACTCTTCTCCACTTTCTTAAATTTTCATATATAATTATACTATTAATTAATAGTAGTATTGTTATATACTTATATTAGTAATTTTCTATTACTATTGTTATATTAATACTTTAATATAGTTAAAGTATACTTAATATCTACTTATTATATAGTTGTTATTTACTTATATTTACTTATATTACAGCTAATTAATATATTAAGTATATATAAATATTAAAGTATTAAATATAAGTTTACTACTCATATTATAGTAGTATACTTATATATTCTATACTATACACAATGTATTATATATTAGTCACACTTTAATTAATATTAGTTAATTTCATCCTATTACTCCCATTAATTAGTATACAGATTCATACATTTTTCCTATTACTTTCTCATCCTAGTTACATTTGTCATTAAAGTAGTTCATTACTTAATTGTTACATTTGTCATTAAAATATTTATTAAATTAGTTCGAATTTTTAGGTGTGATTAATTAGTTAGAATTTTTAGTTCTTAAATTGTTACATTTAAGTATTTATTAAATTAGTAGTTCGAAAGTAGTTCTTAAATTGTTACTTAGTATTTTAATTGTCATTAAAATAGTTCGAATTTTATTAATATAGTTAATTAATATTAATATTAGTTAATTAGTTGTTAATTCTTAATTTTGTGAATTTTATTTTTAAAAAGTTCGAATTTTTTCATTAAAGATTTAAAGTAGTTAGAATTTTTTCATTAACATTTCATTAACAAAAAGTAGTTATTGAAAAACTAGTTTGAATTAAAAAAAATAGTTGCATTACTATTGTACTAATATTAACATGGGCGTTTTTTTCCAGCAACAAGACATCCCAACAACCATTGACGAAGAAGAGCTCGAGGATGAGGATGCGGAGGAGGGTGATCCGGTGATGGCCGAGGAGGGCAATCCGGAGACCCACGACGACGAGGAGCTTGGTTCATCCTAAGTCCCAACCCGGTAAGAAAAGTAAATCTGATATTGTGGAAATTAATTTTGTAAATTGGAAAGACCTAGAGACCGAGAAATGGTACGCAACTTGCAACCATTGCAAGAAATATTTTTGCTTGGGAATTTCACAAGGATACGGTAGTGCCGCAAGACATCTAAAGGCCCGTCACCCCGTGGAGTATGCGAAAACAAGCAAAGGCAAGGGGAAGCAAACTCAATATCAAGGTTTGCAAATAGCCAACCCTTTGGTAATTTCTCTTATGATGATTCCAAACATTTGAGTGGTATGTCTGATTTAATTGTTGAAGAAATTTTGCCTTTTATTTTTTCTGAAAGTCTTGATTCAAAAGAACATGCTCAAGATACTTTAAATCCTCAATTTCGAAATTATAGTCACAAAACGATTAAAAAAGAAGTTATAAGGCTTTATGTTTTGGAAAAGGCAAGATTACAAAAAAAAATCGCAAACTTTGATGGGCGTATTAGTATTTGTAGAGTGATATATGGGAGGATACTCATCATAATTTGTATTATTTGGGTGTAACTGCATATATTGATGATGATTGGGAAATGCATAAACGTGTTCTTGTTTTTCGTGAATTTAATGATAGACACACCGTTGATAATATTTATATTCTCATTGAGCGTATTTTGATTGAGTATAATTTGACTGATAAGGTGTTTGCTGTTGGTTTTGATAATGCTAGTAATAATACTGGTGCTATACCTAGATTGCGTGAATTATGTGGTTCTTCTACTTTGATGGGTAGGTTTTTTCATCAACGATGTGCATGTCATATTCTCAATTTATGTGTGAAAGACGGGCTAACCGTGTTAGGAAATGCTTTGGAGATAGTGAAGGATGGAATTAGATTAAATTGGGCTAGTGGTAAACTTAAATTACAATGGCAAAATTATTTGAGAGAAAAACGTGTGAAATATTGTGCTTTTCCTAAAGATTTTTCTATTCGCTGGAATAGTACTTATAAATTAATTAAAGTACTTGTTAGATCTAAAGACCATTTTCCTGCTTTTTTAAAAGAATATGCTAACTATATTATAAACCCGGCTGACATCGACACCTGCGAAAAAATTGTGAATGTTTTGGTATTTTTTAATAATGCAACTCAAACTTTTAGTCATGTTTATACACCTACCTCAAACCAATTTTTCGTGAAGCTGTTAATCTCGCCGATGCTTTTTGTGAATTTTCCGATGCCCCTTACGTGAGTTATTTTTGTGAATACATGAAAGAAAAGTTTTTAAAATATTATTCACATATTCCGCATATTTATAGTATTGCATTTATTCTTGATTATCATCGTTATAAACTTAGTGCTTTGCAACAATGTTTAGATTACTATTATGCGTCTTTATTGGTCCATTGCCTATGTACGATGATAAGGCCATAGACCCTAAACAAGAATACCAAGAGGTTAGTAATTTATTTTATCAGTTATATAATGAGTTTCAAGGACAATATGGCAACGCACCCCCTCCCCCGACACGAACATCTTCATCTAAAGGAAAATCATTTTTTAAATCAACATTTGGCAATCTTATGAAAAAAAGTAAATCAACTCCCGTTGTTGAACAAAGCTCAGTTAACGAGTTTTCTTTGTATCTAACATTTCCTGTTGACATTGAAGAAGATTCTGATGACTTTGACATTTTAAAGTGGTGGAAGGATAAGAAAGAACGTTCCCGATTTTAGCAAAGATGGCTAAGCAAGTGCTATCAATGTCGGTTTCAACAGTTGTCGTGGAACAAGAATTTAGTGCGGCCAGCAACGTTCTAACGGATTATAGAAGAGATTAAGCGCAAACTCTCTTGAGACGCTTGTTTGCTACCATGATTGGTTGAAGGCCCAACGTAGAACTCAAGAACTTAGCATCACCCTCACCCAACACTTTATGGAGGAAACAACAACCGACGGTGGCGGAGATTCCGATTGATTATTTGATTATTCTTTATCACTTTATTACCCAACACTTTACACTTCATGTTTTAATTTTTTGCCTAATTCTCAATTGTAGACTTGTAGTTCATATATCAAATAAATATACGTTCAGTTTTTTGTATGTAGCACTTCTTGATTTAATTTCTTAAACTAAAAAAAAGTGGTAATTACCCATATGGTACACTTTTGTATGGCACATATCATTTATGACCTAACTATTTTCTCTTTTCATTTTTAACCTTTTCAATTTTCAATAATGTTTTTTATTTCAGTTTTAGGCTTCGTGCCCACCTGTTAGATGTTAGAACGGGAGAGACGTCGTCGACAATTTGGAGACTGGTTGGAAGGTCTGGAGAGCGGTCTACAATTTCCCAATTTCTTCTCACGGAAGTGAGATATGTGGCCAAGATTTGGAATCGCCGATGGAGCTGTGTTTGAATTCCCCATCCTAGCATCGTTTGACAACCAGGTGATAATTTCGGTGGTCTCAGGGACGCGAATCGAGACCGGAGGCCTTTGTGTTTCTGATGCAGATTAGAAAGTGGTGGATCTTCCTTCGACGTCAATGAAGGTGTAGATCAATTCCTCAGTAATTTGAATCGCTTCCAGAACGGTTACTTGTGCTAAGTTGAAAACAGGGTGTCATCTTTGAATTTGAGCGATGAGAATGGCGAATGTGAAGAGGAGACGATAAGTGCCTCTTCTGATTCGGAGGGCGTTTAGTGACGAAGAGCGTCGTCGCAGTGTTTCGTTAACGCCGGAGAATGCAAAGAGAGTGATGGAGGTCATGCGCGGTATCTCGTTCAGCGTGGTTGCTCCAGGTTGGGCAGCTCATTTCCGGGAGAGCCAATGGATCCAACGGGTTTGAACAATAAGACAGGCATCTACGGTTACCAATTCTCCCGTTCAAGATTGAAACATTCAACAGTTAATTCTGTTTTTCCTTGAAATCGTTCCAGACCTGAATTCACGCTTCCTGATTGATGAATTGCTTCTTCATCTTCCAAGTATGCTGCTCTCAAACTTTTTATGAAGTATTTGATTTGAAGCTTCTCGATCTGTGTGTACTTATTATATTTGTTTAAACCAAATTTGAGTGTACTTGTAATGCTTTTACAAACATTCTGCCTGCATAAACATCTGCTCCAACCAGGCAACCACATTAGCACACCTATATAAGAGCTTAATTATGTTGATTCACTCTTCTGTACATGTTTACAGAAATGCACTTCTCCAATGACATGTTTTCCTTAAATTCAGT